TTTATAATATTAGTATAGACTAAAACTTATTAAAACAAAATGTAATAATAAAATATATTATACAAATGGATATAAGGCAGCATCTTAAAGGCTTCCTTTCACTAGAGCCACAAAAAAGCCATGAAAATTGAAACAATATAAATAAATAATATAAAGGTTTTAATTATTGAGTGAACGCATTAGTCATACATTATTGCATCAATTAGTATGGTACATTATTATGTAGTTATAGAGTCTCTATAAAGTAAAATCAAAGTGCTTTGTAAATGGCACTAAAGCGAACGAATGCTTTATCATAATTTTTCATTATATTGCCTCGTAATTACATGTTGTTTTAAAGTAACCACCTTAAAATGTCCATCAACATACAATGACGCTCTTAACGCAATTTAAATATATAGAATGTAGATAAAACTCCATCTCATTAAATCCTTTTTATGCAAAAATGAATCCAACTTTACAATAAAGGTTTAGATGGATTTTTTGTCCAAATGTAAAAGGAGTTTTTAGTTGACGAAATCTAGTCATTATAAAAACCATAAAATCGGTTCACAACCGACGAAAGCATTGTATATATCTATATGTGTATAAATATATTGATACAATTTTGCACCAAAAATCCATTCTGTCTTCATGTACTGATAAAATAGGACCATGAGTCTTTAAAACGCTCTGTGAACCCAAAACAAAGCAAAACAGTCACACACTGCGCCAAACCATATATAGCTTCAGTTACAACATGCCTTAAAGCATTCCGACGTATTGAAAACAGAAATAAAGTATGCAATGTGTCTGAATGATAACGGGCAGCTGGCCTGAAGCCAACAGGCGTGGTTCTGCTTGTAAACATATTTTGTATAACATCTAGACCACATGGAAAACAAATACGTAATCTACGCATGAAACATTTTTTCATGCCCATGAAGCTGAAAATACTGCTATCTATCCCATGCCAACTCTCTACCCCTTCTTTCTAGCGATAACGGAAATGCTATCCCCAGAGGGGTAGAGAGAGGAAATTGCCCTAAAATTTGCACTACCCTTCAACTTCCGATTGCTTAAGGGACGTCAAACTTTTCTTTTGTTTCATAAAAGCAACTACAATATCAAATCGCCTGTATTTAAAAAAAAAACTGTTATTTTGTACGCATTTTTGGGGCCAGGAAAGTATCCAATGAATATTCAACCTTGCTTTTATTTATATAGTGTTTTTCTAATATTACTCAACAAGCACATCTTCATTTACACCAACTATCAATCCTTGTCGGACGTGACGGACTGCGCAAGCTTAAAATGATATCCTACGCAATTTCCTCCTAAGTCGTACGTCAACAGAAGCTCATATACGTGACTAAGGAAGTTACCCCGATTCTGGAGTGTACTTGTATTAAAACATAAGGCTAAAACTATCTAAAAAAAGTGGTACGGGGTGCCTACCCATTTCTTGCTTTATTGCTACAGGACTTTTGTTCATGGCCAAATATTTTCCTTTAAAATATTTTATCTAAATATCGTATTGCATACAGCCCTTTTCACTGCCGGCAAAATAAATTTTGAATTAATAAGACGAGTGTGATCAGGGTCAAAGTTTACCAAGCTGGCCAATTGCGGATTGGCAGACTTCACATATTTTTCGAAAACAAGTCAGTTCCTCTCGTTCTCTCAGACATGCAGATAGATTCCTTCACGCAAGTTGAAATAAATTGAAAAAGATTCGCACATGAAGATATCAGAGGTGCAAGACACGGGGCTTGAAACAGCTTCATTTCGTTTTCTAAGTGAACGAGTTGCCACAAGGCTACTACTGCTTTTTAAATAAATATCGTATGCTACATCGAAATAAACTCTGTCACTATTAATAAAATACCATTTGGCGATCGCATTTCAGTTCCTACGCGCATTCATAAGTTATGCATGAATAGTTCGATGGTAGCTATACGTGCTGTGTGACGTCACAAGTCGTGACCTTACGCGCTTATTTATTTTGGGATTATCCTAAATAGGTCGACGGAAATACATTCATTGCTACCAACATGTCATAGATTATGAATGACGTAAAGAATTTTAGTGACGATCACGCTTATGATTATGCCTGCAGTAGAGTTTGTACTTTGGTGGTATATGTACATTTTGGAACGTTTGGCTCAGTTTGTAGTGATCCTACTTGCTGTGCCAGGGGTCGCGAGTTTGAGTCCCGCTTTTCGGCATATCACATGATCTCAATACACCGCTTCTGATCGCAATTTTATATTAAAAACAATTCAATTTTAATACAAATGTGACGGTGATGTGACCTATTTTATCTATAGTACATGTTATAAAATTCTAACCGAGTCGAATCTGTACGTTAAATATATTTTGGAAAATCTTATAGAAATAGTCATTATTATCGATACAGAGACCGAATCTATAGTTTTTAGAATTTCTGTCTGTAATCAATAATCTTAACGACTTTTCAGCAATTGCTCCCTAACCTTTCTGTAGAAATCTGTTTAGATAAAAATTTACGTTTCCACTACATTACAATAATCGAGTTTTTCACTTTCTCAGTAGGTACACGTACAACGGGGTCTTGATATTTCAGCGAGCCATTTTTCAATATATTGCAGTTCGTGTTGAAGTGAATTACGGGTAATAAAATTTAACGCCATAGGAAAATTATTTATGGGACGTAATCCGATTCGCTCCCGACTTTATTGCTCCACAACTTCTTCACACCCTTGACCTAAAAGACAACGCCCATCAATATGTTATTCGTCCTACTTTCCAATGAATTCTTAAACAGAATACATACCACCAGTATTCGCTCGGTATTATAGCTTTTTATACCTAAGTAGCATTGCCCGCGGCTCCGCCCGCGTTCAGATGACCAAAAGCCAAATTCCTAGGTTTTACATATTATTATACTCTTACATTGCAGTTTTTGTATTTTCTCGCAGAAATGAGATATTTTCCCGCGGTAAAAAGTATCCTATATGTTGACCCGAATAACCAGTTATCATCATACCAAATTTAATCAAAATCCCTCCAGTGGTGTTTCCATGATGCGGTAACAGACAGACAGACAGACGAACAAAAATTCTAAAAACTGTAGATTCGGCCTCTGTATCGATAATAATGTCTATTTTAATAAGATTTTGCAAAAAAAAATATTTTATGTACAGATTAATTTCTATAGGTCCCTTAAAGGCCGGCAACGCATTCGCAACTCCTCTTGTGTTGCAGATGTCCATGAGCGACGATAACCACTTACCATCAGGTGGATCGTTTGCTCGTTTGCCCCTTTTTTCTATAAAAAAAAAGATTCGGCATAGTTACAATTTTATTATATGTATAATAAAGCTAATAAAGCTGTTTAGGGTATTTATGCTTCCTAATTCTTAAAGGATCTTCGTCATATATGTAATTGGCACTATACAAAAGGTCAAAGACATAACGTAATGTTTGAAACTTCCAACACGCTTTATAAATGGAATGAAAAGTCAATACAAGAAAGAACAGTTGAAAAAGAATTGTCACAAATGTCTTAACCCCAGCTATTGAATATTTTTACAAAGCTTCTAGGTTTTTTGACGATATGAAAATAGTCTAATAAAGCGGGTTTGTATACAGCAATGAAAATTAACGGCTTAGTTCTCGTTGCATTATATGATGTAAATAATTAATCATTAGTGAGTATTACGCGTTTTAAATAAGCTCACTAGTATCTACGGAGAGCGAGTTGTGAGAGGTTTTTTGGTATGTATTCAGCCCTTAGTGCCACTGCTGGGCACGGGCCTCCTTCCAATACGAGGTGTACTCTCAAACGTGCAGGTTTTCTCACGATGTTTTTTTTTCACCGTAAAAGAAGTGGTAATCATGTTAGAAAATGATTCGCACATGAAAATTCAGAGGTGCGAGTCCCGGGATTTGAACTTCTCGCTTATACTCGGTTTCCCAATTGAGTGTTTTTAGCACGTATATTTGGATTATTTAAATATTTAGATTCGAATATACTTAACTTTGTAAGTGATAACTATTTATTTAAATATATCTGTATATATAACATTGTAATTTTTTACTAACACATCTTTATTTCAATTGTCATTTCAAATCACACCCATCAAAGAACAATTCAAATAACATTTACCACATATATTTTTAGACCTTATTGTTATAACTATAAAACCTAAATTCGTATGACAATTAACCGTTTTTGATACGGCATCTCGTATTTGCTCGTGAGATTATGGTCATAAAACGTGACACTGAACAAATAGTCATTAAAACGCTTAATGGCTCGGAGAGATTCGGCGTGAATATATCCTGCAACTGCAAAGAAAAACGATGTAACTCGTTTATTTTAAAATAGGATTAATTCCTCGTATATTTAAAGACTAAATTCAAAACTGCTACAATACCGAGTTAAAATGTTGCTCCTTTCAGGCGTCGATTTGTTTTAGTGTTAAGTATAATGGGTAAATGTGGGTAATTGCGTTTTTGTGTACATTGAGCGCCATATGACCTTGTGTTTGGCGTGCAGATTGCAGGTTAGTGGAAATATCAAATAACATATTTGCTATCGAATTTAATTTAACTCACAATTACAGCTACCGTTTTTGGAATATTTAACTTATCAAATCTAAGGCAGAATAAATATTTTTTTAATATGTGATCTGAAATGGAAGATGATGAATCTGAAAGAAAATGAGATTTATTATTCATCGATTCATCATTCATTCATTTTGTCATACATGATTTGACATGGATAGTCAATAATTATAAAGATGAAAAACACTTAATAAAACGATTATTTATATTTATTGTAAGCTTTTCTGTCCCTCCGCTATATGAAAAGTGAAGTCTGAACATCCATCATCATCATCATATATAATACTTATTTAAAAATTCTAATTACTGTATCATCCGTGTTTTCTTTAAGCAAAAGCATTAAAAAAACCGATTTTGTGAAAAAACATAGATTTTATGATATATTTATCAGAAATTTCAATTGTCCACAGATATGAACGTCTCTTGCGTCGCGCTCGCAGCGAGGACCTGAGCGAGGTTTCGGGTATCGGATGCCTGTACCAGAGCGGCGTGGACCGGCTCGGGAGGCCCGTCGTTGTGTTCATAGGGAAGTGGTTCCCCATCTCTGATATTGATTTGGAAAAAGTGAGTACAAAACAGCTAAATTTATTTTATACTATAGCTTATTAGGAAACCTGCATGTCTGAGAGATCTTACAAGGTTTCTAAAGTCATATGCAGTCCGCCAACCCGCACTTGGCCAGCGTAGTGGACTATGGCCTGATGATCCTCTTCGTATTGAAGGGAGGCCCACCCCAGCAGTGGGACGTTAAAAAGCGCTAAATACGTATAGCTTATTGACTTTTGTGGTCACAAGAGTCAGGGTGCATTAAGGGATGTTTAGGACATAGGGTTATGGCACTAGTTTTGTGGCTTATAAATCTATAAACGTAATATTTTTCATTATAAATATGGATGGATGGATGTAAAATATATTGTGCTTTTGTTCTATATATTATAATATTACCTTGGTTTAAGATCTACGTATCGGACTGAATTCGAAAAAAAAATTTATTGCATTAAAATATTACATACCTCTTGTTTATCTAGCTTATTAAGATTTATTAAACCCATATGAAGTGTACATAATATATTATCTAAATTTCTGCACGAAACATTCACTTCAGGATAAACTTGTTTATAAATTTTTGACTATACCTAAGTATAAACTTTATCCCAACTTCAGCTGTTAGCATATTTAACTTAGTTAGGAAGTCTGTGGAGAGCAAACCCTTAATAATGTTATACAATGCATTACCTAACCTCATGCTGTGCATGTGTGACTACTCTGCCCTAAGTTTATAAGGATTGCTGCAAATTTAATAATAAAAATTGATTTCCAAGCAAATGCTAACCAATATGGGCTTATGACGAAACGTAAATTTTATATTGAACAAAAGCAATAAGGAAAATTATTTCATACAAAACAAATTCGCAATATTTAAATTAGTTATGTCGAATATTTGCTTTTAATTTGATTTTTGCAAGCAAATATTTAAATGTCTAAGTTTTTTACGATTGAGACAAATTTCCGTACCAACCTTTAACTTGTACATTTGAATTATATTTTTTGTATAACTTGGCTTTTTGTAATAAAGATATTCTTTATTTGTAGTTGTGTGTGATTTAATAATTCTGATTAATTTTAATTTTTTACTGTTCAAACGAATTGACGTCAATTTCGAAGAATTCCATATAGAGTTTTATACGCTATAACCTCTTTATGGGATGACATTTCTAGAGTTAGTGCTTATTATATGAGGAACTCTTTTTATTTTATTTTATGCTTTTAGAGCCAACGATTTAGGACACACTCAGTGAATGAATTTCATAGGTTCCATAGGTGAATTTCATGCGAGTTTGTTGATATGTCCTTTCTCGAACTACTCGTTAATGACTGTAAAAAATCGCGATATTTTTTCTAAAAGATAATTGCTAAGATATTATAGGGTAGAAATTACTATATAATATTACCAAAAATAACGGACATTTAATCGTATTTTTGTATAATTGACATGAAATAACTCAAATTCTACATATATGTAACATTGTCTGTGTATTTGTTTACAGGCTCTCCTTTATCTAATCAAGCTGTTGGACCCTATCGTCCGCGGCGACTACGTGATAGCGTACTTCCATACCCTCGCCTCCTCTAACAACCACCCGCCCTTCTCCTGGTTGAAGGAGGTCTACACCGTGCTGCCTTACAAGTAAGATATCGTTTATTTGTTTTGTTGCCATACTTTTCTGGGAAATCATATAATAGAATATTACAGAACTAGCTATATTTCTTTAGAAACCAAATATTTTTTTGGTTTTTGATTCTGCGATTTTTTAGAAGGATATGTTTTAATTAATTAATATAAGTATGTATTTAAAATAATTAAATACATAACAAAAAATATTTAATTTAACTAGGAATAATTACATGAAATGAAAGATAAAATAATAAAAACAGTATAATTAATATTATGTCTATATTTATTTAATACAATATTATGCTTTAGTTTTTGCGCGTTAGGAGCATTATTGTGTGTTCTAGTAATTCTTCGTCAAGTCACGTACGTGTGTATTTGTACCAGAGACTAACAACTGAGCGTATATTTGCCTCAGGTTACATGAATGTGGATAGAAAAGTTTTTAGCGAACTAGCGACTCACCCTCGCTCGTTCGCTCGTTTTAACGTTCAATATAGATTTCTCTTAAAAAGAATATTTAGTGTACAAATTCGACTCAGAATTTTATTAGACAGATTTAGCATTACCTATCCAATTTTATAAAAAGTATCTCAATTTTAAATAAAACTATCTCGTTGGATTATTTCGCGGATTTATTTAGATTTTTGGTTCCTGACTATTCATGCAAAAGTTCTCTTATAACTGTCACCAATTGTGTTTAGGTAATTATTCTAATTGAAATAAATATACAACAATGTCCATTGAACTTTAAATGCAATGCTTAAAGTTGCAATGGACGCGTCCGAGCGTATCGAGGATAAGTGCAGAATAAAATACTAGTATTAATCAAAAAAGCTCAATTACTATGTATGTATAAATTATAAAAAGAAGGAAAAATTATTAAATTATTTTTGCTTTAGTTCCTCCATTGTGACGAAGTGTGACCTACATGTTCTGCTGCGCTCATTTTTTTAAGATATATAAGATCGCTTTAAAATCGCTTTCTTTGCATACATTAATGGGTATATCATTATTAATTCAAATAATAATAATACATAGATAGATATATGCCATGTATGGGACTAGCTCAAGCCCGCGGCTCTGCTCTCTTAATTTATTCATGTAAGATTGCTCCGATTTATTAAGTTTATAATGTGAAGTTAGATAAAAGATAATGTTCCTTGATGAAGTATGCAGCCCTTATTAACTTTCCACTCCTGAGAACTGATTCGTACATGAAAATATGTGTGTGTGAAAACCGGATTTTGAACTCACTTGACTTGAATTCCTAAGCGAGCGCGTTACCACTGACTGGGCTACCACTGCCTTCCCTCAATAAAATGTAAAAAAAAATTAATGGAAAATTCCAGGAATGAGCGCGTTCAAACAAACAAAAAATTGCCTGTTTAACATAATAAATATTACGTCGTAATATTTCGCAAAATGAATAATACATACAGTAGGTAGGTACTTTAATGTGTTTTAATTTACACAATGTTGAACTTTATAGATTGCGTGACGTCTTTCCCTTCCATTTGCATATTTGGGTGCAGTTTATATTACAGAACAAATAAAAGTGACTCACAATCTTACTCACACTAGTCTTATGTTCGATTTCACCATCATCCCACAAGCTACCACCTACGTATGGGATCCCTAGCTCAAAAGTTCCCCTAAACCTAAATTAAATTTCGTTTTACCATCGTCAGAGCCCGTATTTCTAGTACCTATATTTAGGTGGTGTTTTAACATTTAGGTGACACCTAACTGTCGGTGAAACAGAAACTGTCCCCTAACAGCCCCCTAACTATGCTTAGGAGGCCCTTAAACTTAGGTGACGTTGGTGAAATCGGCCATTAATTTTGTTTGATTCTTCAAGCTGTAACCATTTAGGGAATTTGAGTTATACTAGGCATGGCTTAAAGCCTGCATTATAAATACACTAGCTATTTATATTTTTACTATAGACTCACCCTCGCTTCGCTCGGGTTCGTCCCTAGGTGGTTTCCCCATACAAACTTTCATTCCCATTTTCACCCCTCTAAGGGATGATTTCCTGGATAAAAAGTATCCTATGTCCTTCCCAGGGTCTCAAAATATGTTCTTACCAAATTTCTTCTAAATCGGTTCAGTAGATCCAAAGCGTACCCCCTCTACTCGTCACAAACTCACAAACTTTAACTCTTTATAATAATAGTATAGACAAAAAAAAATAATTTATTCCATACTAAGCGTCAAAACGTACCTAGGGACGAACCCGAGCGAAGCGAGAGTATGTCGCTAGTAGGATAAAAAAATCTAATTTACACTTATTATAATTCATTTTAGGCTTTATTTTCATAGATTTAGATAATAATATGCCTTTTTTTATGTAAAAATGGAATTACGTTTATCATAATAGGTTTTGTAACCGTTGTTAGCTTATGATTTCCGCAAAAAATTATGAAGCTTACTAATTAATTACCATAAGAAGGTTATAAAAGATATGTCCTTGAGATGAATAATTATTATTTTATATATTTTTTTGTAATTTAAATATAAATTATATTGTAACAAGTGGCAAAATGATCTTGCTATTGATGGATGTCGAAGTTGAGTTGTTAAAGAAATTTTGTGTAATGTTTATTTTCGATTTTTTGTAGGGTAAGGTTGTTTGGTCAGATTTATGTCAGGAATATGAGAGATTTTTAGGCTAGGCGCCGACAGGTGCCAACTTCTTATCGACATTGGGTATGCCACAACGCAAACGAAGCCATAGCAACTAGTTCTTAGACAAATATTCGACGATTACATATATATTTAGAAGGTTGTTTTTGTACCTGAGTCAAACAGATTTACATGTTTAAATGCACATTAAAGCTTTTAACTCTTAATTTTGTAACTATCTTTCGGATAGTTGGTGAATTCAATAAGTAAACTAAATTTTTAATGTTTAAATTATTCTATAGCTTCCATAAAATACGATTTCACTTCGTTCTTTATAACAGTAATGTTATTAGAAAACTTTTCAAACTAAATGAGCAGCCATTATGAGTTTTATGTCAATGTCTAGGTACAACAAACATGATATTTTCTAAAAATGGCAATTAATTTTCAGATATAAGAAAAACCTAAAAGCCTTCTACATCGTGCACCCGACATTCTGGACAAAAGTAAGTTGTAAATTTTTTTATCATAATTTTTTACTGTCAACAATTAATTCATTAAAATGCATAACTGAAGTATTTTCCGTGTTTGTATAGAATGAGTCATTGCCTGAAATAATAACTCGCTAACACGCTAAAATGACGAAACACTTTTAATTGATTTTAACACATTTGCTTGTTTTCTAAATTGAGATAAGGACGTCATTCTGAACGCTTGTTTAAACTTGTTAATGCACACACAAGTACATAATATATGTAATGCAATACACAGTTAATATTAATTTAAAAAACTTTAAGCAATCATGAATTTATCTGTTAAAAATTGAACATGAAAATAATACTATTTTTGTTTTTTTTTGTTGTACAGGAAAGTAGGTAATTTCTGATACATCCGTTGGACTGATTATCTAAGTTTCACTTCTAAACTATTTTTATGTAAAAAATTACATCACTATAATGCTCCGTGAAATAAGAACTACTATAATATAATATAAACACCTGCAAGGAACAATATTGTAACTCAGTACTTATATACAATGTATTTTTTTATATTATGAGTAGGTACATGGGCGACACAGCTACGTTTGGTGTTTTTCAGAAAAGACACCCATATAGATAAACTTAAAAAGCAAGCAACTTTACCTACATACAAAAAAATTATCCAAATTGTTTGAGCCATTTCCGAGATACACAAAATAAATTTATATAAATATATCTAAGAATTGCTCATTTAATATTATAATCTGCTCAGTTTAGTGTCCGTAAGTGGTTTTTTGATCACTTTGACATAAATAAGTCCAATTTCTTTAATGCTGAGTTACAATCTTGTTCCTAGCTGTAGTCGATATTATCCAATGTACTGTCACTTACAAATTTTTAACAATTTTCAATTCAATTCTCTTGTTAATGGCTTCTAAGCGTGCCAGTTGAGCACAGATTACTTCGCCAATGTCACGTAGAATGGAGAAGACGCGAAGGAGATTGGTTGTTAAAATGAGATTAATAAATAAAATAAAATACTCTGTGTAACTGTCAACGAGTACGGTAGACTTAGGTTTTCGTCCCGAGTTATATGTATTTCAAATAATAAAGTATTTACGTCTCTCAATGTGAACACTAAGTTTACCACTCACTATGCTCACATAAATAATTTAAATCCAATTTATCGCCTCTGTTAAGATACTATCTATGTATTAGCTGTGGATTTTGTACAATAAATAAATATATAATGAACAATTTTATCCAATGACCAGATGATGACGTGGTGGTTCACGACGTTCATGGCGCCGGCGATAAAGGCCAAAGTGCACACGCTGCCCGGCGTCGAGTACCTGTACTCGGTGATGCCGCGCGACCAGCTCGAGGTGCCCGCCTTCGTCACCGAGTACGATATGACGGTACGACTCTACTTATAGTGGTTGTGTGTTATGTAAACTCTCCATATTCGTATTCAGCTCTTTTTAATGTCCCATTGCTGGGCACGGACCTCCCAATACGAAGAGGATCAGGTCATAGCCCCACTAGCATAGCTGGCCAAGTGCGGGCGGACTGAGCATGTCTTTCGAAAACTTGTTAGATTCTCTCAGACATGCAGGTGTTTCCTCACGATGTTTTCCTTCACCGTAAGACAAGTTGTAATCATGTCGAAATCGATTCGCACATAAAAATATCATAGGTAGGTTCGTGATGTAGGATTTGAGCCCGCTTCACTCGGTTTCGTAAGCTAGCGTGTTGACTACCACTGCCTCACTCTTAACACCTCCAGGTAAATTTCTAAGAAATTAATGAAATGTCTGAGAAATCTATTGTTAACTGACACGCCGGCGTGTCTGCGGTCGTGGAGGTATTAATATTAGCGACTCTTTATATTCTGTACTGTATGTATGTAAATATAGTTGTCTTTTGAAATTGTTAGGTTAGATCACTTATGACTCATCGCATGTTTTAGATCGTTAAACGAATATTCTCTGAAAATTTTTATTTTGTTAAAGTAAAGTATAACCCGTCCTTTTTTATACTTTTATGTATTTGTACATGCATACGTTACCTAAGTAGTTGGTTAGAAACACTATGCTGTACATGACATCATCTATAGGTACATATAATAAAACTGTAACTAAGTCGAATCTGTACATTAAATATTTTTTGGAAAGTCTAATTGATATAGACATTATTATCGATACAGAGTCCGAATCTATAGTTTTTAGAATTTTTGTCTGTCTGTCTGTTACCGCATCGCGCGAAAACCAGTGGACAGATTTTGATGAAATTTGGTATTATGCTAGCTGGTTATCCGGGTCAACATATAGGATACTTTTTACCGCGGGAAAATATCTCATTTCTGAGAAAAAATACAAAAACTGCAATGTAAGAGTCTACTAATATTTAAAACCTAAGAATTTGGTTTTTGGTCGTCTGAACGCGGGTGGAGGCGCGGGCAATGTTAGTTTATATCATAAATATCTATGTATCCTAGTTGATATATAGTTCCAGGTATTGTTGAAGCTCTTTCATACATATAAGGAAACAAATTTGTTAGAAATAGTTGTAATCTATACTAATATTATAAAGAGGCAGAGTTTGTTTGTTTGAACGCGCTTATCTCAGGAACTACTAATTCGTTTTGCATTAAATTGCCCGTTTATTGAGGAAGATTATAAGCTATATATCATCATGCTACTACTCAAGGGAGCGGAGCATTAATCATAAAATGTCAACAAATCGGGCAGACTTCCATACATTATTGTAAAATTGATGTATGTATATGATATACATTTAACGAATTGAATGAAACAGACATTTAACGCGGGTGAAACCGCGGGGCACAGCTAATCATAATAATTTTACCTATGATGTATCAATTTCGATATTTTAATTTTAATACGTGTACTATTTTCTTTTACAGATAAACGGTCTCCATTACTTCCAGCCCGACACCAACAACACGTAGGCCGCCGGCCGCCGCCGCCATATTATACTCCACCTACACACCTATATTTTATTAAAAAATATATAATATTATGTACATTTATTTTGTGTCGCGTCCAAAGTTATTCTGTTGTTGGCAAAACGTCGTCACGTGTGTACCCGACGTTACGTGTGAATGGCCAGCTTTATATTGTTACTTTCAGGGCTCGGAATTTCTTAGCTATTTACTAAACTAGCAATTTTTAAGCCATTCAATTTTTATACCGGTTTTGGTCATTGAGTCCAAACCGAAAGGCTTTTCGGTTTAAAGTTTCGGTTAGGTTCTTTAACCGTTTAAATCCCGGAGAACGGTTTTTGACCGTTTTTGATCAAAATTAACCGATTAAAAAGAGTTTTTGTGCGTTTACATTCAGCTAGTCTTTTCTAATTATGAACTTTACTTTACTTTATTAATTACTTATAAATGAATTATCCGGTTTATTTCGATATCAAAATGTAAATCCAAACTTTCTCGAAGAATAACCGTTACTATTATTACGGTTTACTATACGGTTCGTTTTCATTAACCGGTAAATGAACGAGCGATATATTAACCATTAAATTACCGAAATAAACCGTTATTTTAAACCGGGTCCGAGCCCTGGTTAGTGGTTATTTTTAGGGAATCGATGACAAAGGCAATAAAAGAGCTCATTAGATATAAATGGCGGGAAAAAATTTCGTGACGTAAAAAGGTTTTATATGTTTTCGAGTTGCGTTAATATTTTACTCCAATGAAATTAGCGATGACGGCGAATGTGCCGTATTTTTAGTCGAAGCGTTGTGCTATTCCTATACAACTTGGATAATTGACATTTATAGAACATATCAAAATAATGTTACGTTATGTTTTCGAAAAGTTAATAAACAATTATGTATTTAAACAGTAAAAATTATATATAAAAGAAAACACTATGTTTTGTATGTCAATATTGTTAAGTTGTATAGAAAATTCGGGTTATAATATTGTTGAAGTATAACTAGTATTAGTAGTGCATTTTTAACCGATCTTCAAAAAGGAGGAGGTTCTCAATTTGTCGGAATCTTTATATTAAGTGATATCAGTGAGTGAATATCGGTGTTCTTATCGTAAGCTTATCGCTGTACTCGATTGAGGCCCGAGCAAGTGTTTGGCGCAAAAGTGTTAAAAATAACTTTTATAATGAAATTTTAATATAAAATCGCTTAAATCCTTTACTGTATGCTTCCATCATACATTTTTCCTTATTTTTATTATACTTTATGTTATGAAGGATATTTTAAACTAATTTAGGCCCGCCGTATATTTTAAGATTTTTTCTGTCAGAAAACTTCTGACGCCCGCCGAAAGGCACTCTGCTCATATGTTTCGGTCTAGACCTCGCATACTAACAGAATTCTGATGTGTCTGACGTCCGCTTCTAATGAGTCCTGGACGCCGCAGATCGGACGTCAGATTTTTTCTGAGCAGAATGTCTGAGGGCGTGCTCTCTATACATTTTGTACTAGACTCTGCACACTTGTCAGAAATTCTCATCAGTTGTTGAGCGGATGCCGCGAACTAAACTCATTGTCAGACTCGCTGAAGTGAAGTTTCTGATGAGTATGCGGGGTGGTACCGGCGGGCATCAGAAATTTTCTGACAGAAAAAAATCTTATAATATGCGACCGGCCTTACACTGTACACTTTGTTTTATAATAAAATCTGTGCCAGATATTCTATTTGTTTCCTAAACATACTACAGGGTAACTGTATTAGCGTTACATTTAAGTCATTAAAAATATATTTCTTTTACTAACTTCACTTCAATTTAAACGGTTTAATTTATTGAGAAATAGACAAATCAATAATAATTCAATGTCTTTATAATATTTATTATAATAAATGACTAAATAATTGTTGAGCAGTTTAGACGTTATGCAATATATGTGGCATGCTCTTGTTATACCGAGCTTCGCAGATTAAATACATTAAAATAAATAATAGGTGTATATTATCAAATACAACATCGATATCGACAAGAAAACTGTAATTTACCGTTAGAAACGTTCAATTTATATACATTTCATTACTTCAGTGGTTTTTAATGCTATATTTATTGAAAAAATATGTAAAACTTTTAAATATGATAATAAATATATAGATTATAAATTGGCGCAAACGTCGAAAATCGACACATCCTCATCAATGGCTGATCAAATTTGGAATATCCAATCAATATTGGTATAATTGATAAATACGTATCTAAGACAAATAGTTATATAGTAACTCAGATATTATTGTATAATAAATGAAAGTGATAAATTGATGTATTAATATTTATTAAAATTTGAAAAACATTATAATTGCCCGCCTCATATAAAAATATTGTTAATTACTATGTAAATATGTATTTTGCACGCAGCGTGGTTATAGCTCGATATATTGTTATGTATGGAATATTCTTCAATAGTTTTAACTTTGAGGTTTTTCTAGTAGGAAATTAAATAGTAATTCCAAGGTCACAACAATTTTTCTAGTACAAACAATATTATCTCACTATAAAGATAAATGTATAAACTTTTTCATTTTAAATAAAACTATCTTTTCGGTTTTTTTCGCGGATTTGTTTTGATTTTTGTTTCCCGACGTTTCGAATGCTTTACACTAATCATGATCTCGGCAGAGACTAAAATTAAAATAAATGGGCAAAAAAAAATCCGAAAAGATAGTTTTATTTCTTTTTGAAGTAAAATTTGGTAAATTTAGGTAAATTAATTGCAACACTGCCAATCAATTACGCAAATCGCTAGTTATCGTCTACGATAGTGATATTCTTAGGGGCGATATTTGCAGTTCTTATAATGTCATCCTCTTACATTATAAACGTAGTAATGAACATTTATTAAAACAACGCGACACATTTTGATGGTGTTTTTATATTGTATAGCTTAGTTCGCTTGACACTAAGCCATTTTACTCATTATTAGACACAATGCAGACTAATTTAAGTCTCGAGCATTCAATAGTAATGTTATATATAAAAAAAGTGAGAATATCCCATTTATAAAGTATTTTTGTAGAACAAACTGTTCTGTTAATGTTTTAAAAATTGAATATTTTTATATCTGAATACCCATAAAGTGCCACATAGCAATTCCTTACAGTATAGTTTACAGTTGAGCTCGGTGTTTCTAGTATAAGTTTTAATGGCATTCGAAAACAAGTTTTTCATTTCTTCTCCATTCTATGTGACATCGTCGAAGTAATCTGTGCTTAACTGCTTTGAAGCTATTAACGAGAAAATTACATAGTTTTTAATTTCTTTTAGATATGTGAAAGTACTCATAACTTAAAATTTTATAAACTTATTAGAACTTGCCCTAGAGACACCGGTCGCTGTCAACGCTTGTAATGTTAAATAATGTATAAGATTTAAACACATAAAACGAGTCTTGGTTATTTTTAAATAATATATTCAATCATTTGTATAAACATTGTTAATCCCAAATGAGATTGTGTTTTGTTTGTCTAAAAGATACCTTAATAATTTTACTCGAACAATAGATATGGATTTAAGTAAGTTTGGGATTAGCAATTTATTGTTGTCATATAAGCCTTTATGGAACAAAGTAATGGAGTCTTCTAAAAAGTGAACCATTGTCAAAGAATATATTTATTATATTAATTAATATTATTAATTTTTTAATACACCTATCTAAACTTTGTTCTATAAATGGTATATTATGGAGTGAGTTTACAAATATTTTCATAATATTTCATTCGATAAGAGTTGGAACACATGGAAATATATAATCCAGGCCTTAGATGTGTTACTATTGTTATTTTTAGCAAAGTATAATGTTGTTGAGTTGAGTGTAGCGGGTGAATGGCAAATGTAATGTAATGTAATGCTAAATTAGGAAGTTATTTAAACATTGTGATGCATTAAAATTGGTTAAGTTTCATATTTTATAATGAGATTAGGCTATGTAAATATTTAACAAACACAAAATAAAAGTTATTAATTTACTAAATTTGTCTTTTTTTCTATTAAACACATTCAAGTAGTTTACTTTGCGTACTTTAAGTTATTTACATATTTTCACTTAAATAAGGAACGGTAATTTTTTCCTATTACTTTAATAATTAAAACACATTTTGGGAAAAATATAATACTAGTAAAAACATTCAATTGAATACTGAATAGAAAGTCATTAACAAAAATAATAAATACTAAATGCATTAATACTGTTCTGCAAATTACTTTGAAATGTGTAATTTATTCATCATATTCACAACAAAATTTAAACATGGATGTTTATTAGCTGCAGACATTAAAGTAACTTTAGCGACAGTCAGTACATTTGATAAAAGATAACCTCCTATAGCTCCAAGGTAACATGAAATGGGCCACTGTTGCCATGGTGTGTTCCAATCTAATGGAATAACCACTGCTCCGAGCCATGCTCCACAAACAGTTAGCAATGCGTTGTTAACCAGCATAGCAATTATTGTGTCTCTTGAAAAGTTCTTCAGACCAAACAATAACTGGACTGCTAATTCTACTCCAGTATGAGCAATCAATGGAAAAACTGTCAAAAGTGTCAATAAACTGGACAGCATCAAAGTTTCTTCATGATATTCCAGAAATGGCGCACCGAACAGTATGATCCCGACAAAGAAACTTAAAGTAACTCCAAGTAAAAATACAAATGACTTCACTATGTCACTAGCTCTGTTCTTGGTAACTTTTCTTTTTCCTTGAAGATCATTACTTGAGTTTAAGTAGAATGCTTTCATTAATTCAGCAACGAATATAAGAACTAAAATATAAAAAGATGAAGCATTTCCCACTGTGTACAGTAAACCTTTGTAAGATATGAAAGTCACAATAGTTGGTAAATAAATACATGACACTAAGCTGGAAATTGTCACTCTTCTAAGTTCTAATTGATTGTTTAAAGAAAACATTGTTAAAATGATTTAATAATAGGCTTTTAAGTTCTTGTGCCTCTTACTCATCGGTGTTATCAACCTATCAATAATCAATATCTGTTTTGTTTTATCTTTTTTTTTTCCAAAAGATATTGTCAACTGTCAGTGTCCCTAACCCTAATTAGACCTACAGAGTACTAAAAATATTAATTGTCTGTATAATCAAGACGTCTGCATGATAGCCACAAATAATAGAATTTAAATAAGTTTGCTATTAAATATAACACTTTACACTATTATTGTACCTTGTAAGCTCTTATAACTACGTTTATTGTAAATTCAAGTGATTAAAATTTCACGTATATTTTATGATTTCCGAAATTGATAATTATTTATATACTTTGAATATTAAGTTAAATATTAGGTTATTTTTTAATTATTAATTGAGGACCACTGTTAAAAAGAATTACTTGTTATATTTAGTATTTGAATGATTAATTCTTTTTTACAACTAATTTATGTTTGAAGCATACAACACTATAATGACAGATCACAGAAGAGATATTTTGTTGGCAACACTTATCTTTAGGAATCAAAATAAAAATTGTACGTGGAGACGAACCTCACAATCATTTACTAAAACTTAATCGATATGACGACATATACTTTATAAATGAAGGCTGCCGTGTTTTGAACCACCAGTTGCAATCTGTACATCTGCGAGACGTTCGGCTACAGTGCGAGCCAACGTTGAACGTAGAAGGCATCGAAATATAAAATAAACTAGCTCGCAAATATTCTTGTGTCGTAAGTGTTACAAGTGAGTGTCACCGATTACATAAAATGCCTTGTCCTTTCTTAGGATCAATGAATCAAACTTTCGTGCGGAATTACGGCAGTGTGTTATTAAAACAGTATGGGAGCTTCTGTCCTATACTTTCTCGTGGCTTCCGCTCTCTCGGAGTCGATGAAACTAAATGCCCCTTCATTCAGAAGAACTCGATAATATCAGAGGCTCCGAAAGAAATGACTGAAGACATAGTGGATAATTCAAGTTATGAATACGATAAATTTTTTAGCGAACAAATAAATGCTAAGAAGAAGGATTATTCGTACCGTGTATTTAGAAAGGTGTCCCGCCTGGCGGCTGATGGTATGTACCCCCAAGCCCTAGAAGGCCAAGACAATCGTCGTGTGACCGTATGGTGCGCGAATGACTACCTGGGGGCCTCGCGGCATCCCTCAGTACAAGATGCTGCTATTTCTGCCATCAAGTCCTATGGAACAGGTGCAGGAGGCACTCGTAATATCGCTGGTAACTCACAAATGACTGAAAAACTTGAATACGAAATCGCTAAACTTCACAAAAAACCTGCTGCTTTAATTTTTAGTTCCTGCTTTGTTGCAAATGATGCAACTCTATCTACCTTAGCTAGAATAATGCCGGGCTGTATCGTCTACTCGGACGCAGGCAACCACGCCTCCATGATACAGGGAATAAGAAACAGCCGGGCACCTAAGCATATATTTAGGCATAATGACCCATCCCATCTTAGAGAATTATTATCATCATCACCGGTCGGTGTGCCAAAGCTAGTCGTCTTCGAGACTGTCCACTCTATGAGTGGTGCTATTTGTCCTCTAGAGGAAATGTGTAACATAGCCCATGAATATGGAGCTTTGACTTTTGTGGATGAAGTGCATGCTGTGGGCTTGTATGGGAAACATGGTGCTGGCATTGGGGAGGAAAGAGGGCTTGAACACCATATCGACATTGTATCGGGTACTCTGGGTAAAGCATTCGGGAACGTCGGAGGTTATATCGCTGGGTCTTCACTTTTGGTGGATACGATTAGATCATTGGCCCCAGGGTTCATATTCACCACGGCACTACCTCCCCCGGTGCTGGCGGGTTCACTGGCGGCCATTCGACTATTGGCTAGCGAGGAGGGTCGAACAATGAGAGCTAAGCACCAAGCGATAGTTCGTTACTTAAAACTATCGCTACTCATAGCGGGGCTGCCGCAATTACCGTCTGTGAGCCACATCGTTCCCGTGCCAATAAAGGGAGCGGACAAAGTGGCACTCGTCGCTGAATCTCTAATGAAAAGGGGGCATTACGTGCAAGCTATCAACTATCCCACGGTAGCGCGGGGAGAGGAGCGCCTTCGCTTCGCGCCGGGCCCCTACCACACGCCGGAGATGATCGACAACCTTATCACTGCCTTGATCGAATCATTCCACGAAAACAACATAAGCTTTGACCAGTTCATGGTGAACGGCGCCTGCCGCGAGTGCAGCATGGAGTACAAGGTGGACATCGCGTATGAGGAGCCGTTCAAGTGCCCCATGGTCGCTGCCTAAACGAGGCTTATGACAAAAAAATTTAAAAGTTAATATTGCAAAGTTTAATTATGTTATTAAATTATGGTTTGTGGTTATGAGTAGGGGAAATAAAACGGCTTTATCGTGTTTGATGGTATTATTTAATCCCAATACTTGATAAGTCCGTCCCAGCCGGCGGTGAGCAGGCGGCTGGGCTCGTGCGGGTGCCACAGCGACGTGATGCAGACACCGTCGTGCGCTTTCCACTTTTTGTACAGTTTCGTCGTCTTCCAGTCCCATATGTAGCATTTGCCGTCTGCGTCCCCTGATACCAGATAACTGAAACAAAAATGATAAATAATTAAACAAAACATCATAAAAACAATTTCAAGAACATTCTAGATTCTCATGCTGAATAAGCAAAACCAACAATCATTCAACTCAACTACTAACTTATTTACAATTATTCATAGATATCATAGTATCAGTAATTATATAAATTCAATTACATAATTATTATTGTCATTAATGTGCCAATAATGTGGACATTTATTAAACATAGTGTAGTTCTTCTGACCTTGTGATTAACAACTAAGCAAAGAGAATTGCATACTACAAGATTTTGCTTAAGATTTATGCATCAAATAAAATTGTAAGATCGACTTAAAAATAAAATGGCTTCCTTTGTTGCACTCCAGCTAATTGCTTTGAGTTACAATTACTAATACTTATATTAAACGCGAAAGTTACAAGTTCGTTTGAATTGAAATTGAAAACGTAATATCCTATACTAATATTTAAGTAAATAATTTTTTAAGCTAAAAACATAACTTAGACGAAGCCGCGTTACTGAATAGTAGAATATAATCGGATTGAGTGGCGTCTTGAATTCATAAGTAGGTACGTAGTAATTGGTCCACTGTTGTCCTCAATGGAACTAAGGTCAAAAGTGAACGATGATAAAATTGCAACAGGTTACAGGGTCAAAGTTGTATACAGAATATTTAAAAAATGTTTGAATTAATAAACATATTTTTTTTTGGAATGAGACAATTTAAAAATTATGACAGCATTTAAGATTTAAAATAGAAAGGACAAGTTTTAATTTACGCTTATAATATCAATCAATATCCAAAAAAATAGGGGTTTGTTCTCCTTTAACCTAATTTAAATCTACTATGACAGAGAAATGATTTTTTTGTTTCATCACATGTGAATACTAACTTTTAAGGACAATTAGGACAGAAATATGTAAAAAACATCAATTTCCACCTACTTTATAACCTATCTACAAGTAGATATTCTTATTGTTACTATAGGGATATTGACGATGTTTAAGTACCTTGATAACAACACTAAACTCGATAACAATGCATAATTAATATAAATACATATAAATCTGCAGATTACCTGTACTTATAATAATTATCCCCATACTAGGAATAGGGGTTTATTTACCTACCAACCACTAAAAAATCACATTACGACATTAATATTATTAGATTTTGGTGAAATATTTTTTTTATTAACATAATCTGCATTTCTATTAGCCTTTTTTTTATAAATATTCAGATGTTAACTTAAAAATGAGAATTGTTAATTTGACCAACTTTCACACAGAAAGAGACGTACGTGTATTTCATATAATAATTACTTTTCATAACAAAATAATAATTATACCTATTGCATAACAAAAAAGTACAAAATCACTAAGAAATAGAGAGTATATTAATTATTCCACTCATATGAGCTGATTTTATTTTAAAATTGGTTATAGACCACCCTTGAGTGACAAACTATTGATTAAAAGGATTATGAAAATCGATTCCTACGTTTCATCCGGTTTCCTATGTTATGTGATATCTTCACCGTCAAAAAGTTGTTTTCAGCCCTTTTGTAACGTCCAACTGTTGGGCACGGGCTTCCCCTCAATACGAGGGGGATCAGGTCATATTCTACCATGCTAGCCGAGTGCGTGTTGGCGGACTTCACATGTCTTTTGAAAACTTGCTAGGTTCTCTCAAACATGCAGGTTTCCTCATAATGTTTTTTCACCGTAAGACAAGTGGTAATCATGTCGGAAATAAGTAATTCGCACATGAAAATATCAGAGATACGAGACACGGGTATTGGACCCACTTCACTCGGTTTCCAAAGCGTCACTGCCCTCGTTAAAAATTTACTATCAAAAAAATTATATATTGAGCATCTTCTTGTTTTTAAAATGGTGAAAACTTTTTGAAATGGTGATTTTGATAGAGTACCTAGAGCTAGTAAAGTTCATTAATCGCATGTTAAAATCTATTTGTTTGTTGAAATTGTTATTTATTGAAATCTGTATCTATATATAATTTATCGAACCTGAGATAGTATTAGTAGGGGAGCCCAAGAGGGGATTTTCTGTAGTTACTCGAGCGCGGCAGATTAACATAAAAGAGGTTACCTTGCACTCTATTGAGTACTTTCACCACAATATAAGTCTTCTATATAAAGGGGCGCGTCTAGGGAAGCCGATTAAAATATTTAAAAAATGTTTTGATAAGGTAGAAATACTTGAAACCGTCAGATTAATCGACTATAAAGTTTATGATGATTTTTGCCTCTTATATATAATATCATAATTTACAGTCAAAAATTATCGTTTGCAATGACACGATAGCCGCCTTTTATTTAATAGATTATTATTATAAGCCTGTAGTGTCCCACTGCAGGTCAAAGGCCTCCCTACACTTTCTCCACTGCTCCCTATCGTTTACCATAATGAGCCATTCTCTTTGGAACGAGTCCAACTCATCCCACCATCTCCGTCTCGGCCTTTTATTTACGTTATTAAAAAAAAATCATTCACGCGTATACGCCATGATCAAGCAATTTCGAACAATCGATTAAAAAATGCAAATTTTCCGCGCGCAACCATGTCACGCCCTCAAGTGACAACAAACGCGTTTCTATTTGCATTTCTCATTAAAGTCATTTGCTTAATTGTAAATTAAAAACCAGTTTTATTATTTCATGGAAATATACTTTGAGGTGATACTAATGAAATTTTAATGAACAAAACTATTTATGACTGCACTAGCTTTAGCACGTGACTGGCTCGAGTAGTTTAAACTTATTCGCTCTGTTGTTTAGGGCCGGAATGTGCTGCGTAATACCTTTTATCCCATATTAGGATAGATTAAATTTTCTATTTACCTCAATTTCAAAATATATAAAAATATTGCATGCATTGTAATACAATAAAGCAAAAGAAATAAATACGTTTCGGTTAAAACTTTAAAAGCATATTTTTTTAAATAATAAAAAAAATACAGTTTATATATAATAAAACCATACACGCATAAATTAAAAAAAAAATTTTTAACTATTGACGCATAAAACGTAGAAAAATAATACGTCGCGACGGTTAAAAAATTTCTAATTTCTCATGAGCCATAAAGCAGCCAGCGGAAGCGTTATTATATGAAATACCAACTCATACGTATACAATATACCTACTTCATTTAAATAGATGAATAAATGACACACATACTTAAAATAGCATGGCGTTAATATCCTCTAAAAAGACCACATACACCACGTAGCATGAGTACGTTAGGGAAAATCAATGAATATATATAAAAACTCATCATTAGTGATATTGAAAAGTTTGTTACAAGGGTACGATTTAGATCTTTGTTTCCCCTTTGTATGGACTGAGTACCTATTACAAGTAGTACAAATTTTTATCTTAGTTATATCTTTAGCCCTTTTTTAAGGTGGGAGTGGGCCTCCACGCTGGCCAAGTGCGACTTTTTTTCAGCAGGTTTTTTTCACGAAGTTTTCCTTCACCGTAAGACCATTGGTAATCACGTTGGAAATGATTCGCACATGAAATTTTAATGAACAAAACTATTTATGACTGCACTAGCTTTAGCACGTGACTGGCTCGAGTAGTTTAAACTTATTCGCTCTGTTGTTTAGGGCCGGAATGTGCTGCGTAATACCTTATAACCCATATTAGGATAGATTAAATTTTCTATTTACCTCAATTTCAAAATATATAAAAATATTGCATGCATTGTAATACAATAAAGCAAAAGAAATAAATACGTTTCGGTTAAAACTTTAAAAGTATATTTTTTTTTAAATAATAAAAAAAAAATACAGTTTATATATAATAAAACCATACACGCATAAATTAATTTTTTTTTAACTATTGACGCATAAAACGTAGAAAAATAATACGTCGCGACGGTTAAAAAATTTCTAATTTCTCATGAGCCATAAAGCAGCCAGCGGAAGCGTTATTATATGAAATACCAACTCATACGTATACAATATACCTACTTCATTTAAACAGATGAATAAATGACACACATACTTAAAATAGCATGGCGTTAATATCCTCTAAAAAGACCACATACACCACGTAGCATGAGTACGTTAGGGAAAATCAATGAATACTTATATATAATCAATCAATCATTAGTGATATTGAAAAGTTTGTTACAAGGGTACGATTTAGATCTTTGTTTCCCCTTTGTATGGACTGAGTACCCATTACAAGTAGTACAAATTTTTATCTTAGTTATATCTTTAGCCCTTTTTTAAGGTGGGAGTGGGCCTCCACGCTGGCCAAGTGCGACTTTTTTCAGCAGGTTTTTTTCACGAAGTTTTCCTTCACCGTAAGACCATTGGTAATCACGTTGGAAATGATTCGCACATGAAATTTTAATGAACAAAACTATTTATGACTGCACTAGCTTTAGCACGTGACTGGCTCGAGTAGTTTAAACTTATTCGCTCTGTTGTTTAGGGCCGGAATGTGCTGCGTAATACCTTATAACCCATATTAGGATAGATTAAATTTTCTATTTACCTCAATTTCAAAATATATAAAAATATTGCATGCATTGTAATACAATAAAGCAAAAGAAATAAATACGTTTCGGTTAAAACTTTAAAAGTATATTTTTTTTTAAATAATAAAAAAAAATACAGTTTATATATAATAAAACCATACACGCATAAATTAATTTTTTTTTAACTATTGACGCATAAAACGTAGAAAAATAATACGTCGCGACGGTTAAAAAATTTCTAATTTCTCATGAGCCATAAAGCAGCCAGCGGAAGCGTTATTATATGAAATACCAACTCATACGTATACAATATACCTACTTCATTTAAACAGATGAATAAATGACACACATACTTAAAATAGCATGGCGTTAATATCCTCTAAAAAGACCACATACACCACGTAGCATGAGTACGTTAGGGAAAATCAATGAATACTTATATATAATCAATCAATCATTAGTGATATTGAAAAGTTTGTTACAAGGGTACGATTT